CGAAACTCGCGGGCCACCTTGGTAACATACGCAAGGATGTCCCCCACCGCAGCTTCGTCCTCCATCGGCGAAGTTGGTGGTGCATAGAAGGATAGATACGTGTGAAGATGAGCGCATAATGTTGCGCATTGCGGTCACGGCAAACGGCCCGTAGTCGGGAGAGGAAGCCATGCGAAATCCTCGGACGTGAGCGGGTCCAATACCTCTATGTTGAACTCGCGCGCCGAATCCCTTGAAGAACCACTTGAAGACGATAAGTTGTCGTTGTCGGACGGGGAAGATGCGACACACACGTCTTGTCCTTGAGCATGAGTACCCCGCGTAGGAACGAGTCGGGCAGCATAGTCCTCGTAAGAATATGGAAGAGGGCTATCAAGTTCCGCGTGTGCCTCGGAACGAAGGGCGGTCACCTGCGAAGCGACCGGTTCCGAAGGGGTCGAGAGTGTCGTCGAGTCACTCCTGACGGTGCTTAGTTTCCCGATTTGCCCTTCCCTTTCGACGGGCAGCCCACTGTGTCGTGGAGATCGTTGTTATACCACAAACAATAGCGAAACCTCGTGCGTGCCTTGTACGCCCGTTCGGAGAGACCGTAGTGGGACCATGGGGCTGGAGCTGTTGCGCCGGGCCTGGGGATAGATGCGGTGTTTGTCTTCGTCTTGCCGCGTCCTCGGTCTTTGTCCGGGCGGCCACCATCCCAGGTGGCTGCGAGTCTGTCCTCTTCATTGGCAGACATGGCCTCGCTAGATTGGTCGGTTGGCGTTGCCGCTGTCGGGGCGAATACCCTGACAAGGGTATCCACCCTGTTTTTTTGCAAGTGACAGAAAGTTTGATTTACTTAGGATTTTTAAGTATTTGTGCGAAACGCGGTGGTTGTCCGTATGCAGGGACAGTTTGAATAGAGTAGATATGTGAGCGCGCAGTTTCAAGACGCGCGCGTGATTTTTCCGCTTGATCGCATAGCTGTTTTTAGTTAACCGGCGTGATTTTTGTTACCGATTAGAATAAGGAATGAAAGTTGTTTTTTTTGTTTGGTACGCCCGACCGGCGGTAGGACTGGCGCACAGGATGGCGCACGGGGCAGCCACGACGCGGTTTAGGTAAGCCGGTGCGGGTGCCTAGCGGTAGCACGCTGGTTGTAGGCAGGGAAGGAGGCCCAGGCTGTTTTTCCCGGGCCTAGGCATCGCGCGGTACCACTTCATATTGAAATCTGCGCCTAGTTGTCTCAGACTTGGGCTTAGCCCTATAGGTTACGGCATTGGACTATTACTACGGAGGTTTGGGGATCGAGGCCAGCATGCGGCGACGAGGGAGCAGCGGAGCGTTGGAAAAATCGAGGGGTTGAGGGCCCGACGGGGCTATCCCCCTCAGTTTTGGTGACATGCGCGACGACGGGCCCAAGCTACGGGACTTGCGAGATGCCAGTAGTTCCCGTTTCCCGTTTAAGACCTTTATAATAAACGGGTTTTATATTCTCGTCTTTTTATTTTCTTTTATTTTTATTGTTAATTTTTTTTTTTTTGGGTCCCGTCCTCGTTCGGGATATGGCCCGAGAGCCTACCACACTGGGTACACCCACGAATTGTCAAAACACAGGCCGAGTGGCCTTGGCACTTTCGTGGGGGCACTGCCCCGGTCAAAGTGCTCGGGACATCCGATGAAATCGGAATGATACAGAGAAGATTAGCATGTGCCCCTACGCGCGGATGACACGCATAAATCGGGGGAGAGGGGCGGCACCGGTTGCTGTTTGATAGTGCTGTTCGATGACTGCGCGGTCCGAACGGATTAACGCAGAGCTGCGCTGGCGGGAGCTCCGTTGACGGCAACGCGACGGGGGAGCTGACGAAGACGAAAGAAACGAAGAAGAGCTAGCGCTGACGTAGGTTGACAAAGGAGAAGGGAGAGTGGTGGGACATCGAGGTGGAACGGAGTGAACGTGGAAGGACGGGCGGGTAGAGGCAACGGTAGGAAGGGTGAGTGAACATGGGCTGCAAGGTGCATGGGGTGCACGCAGAAAAAGGAGCAGGCAGAGATGGCGGGGAAGACGAGAATGGTGGAAGGGAGGAGAGGTAACTTCGTCATTCCTCAGCAGATGTAGGCAGGGAAAAGTATGAACCAGAGGGTTTGGTAGCGGGCGAATCGATTGGCACGGTCAGTTTGGCCATAGGAGGTGTGTTTGGGAGAGTTAGTAGAGAAGGCTGTGCGCGGAAGGTGGCGGGAACGGACACGGAAAGGAGCGAGAGTTAAGTATCTCACTCGTTTCTTTAGGAAATCGAGCGGGATAAGGATCTGAATGGGGGTTCTCGACTAAGGCGAGTCGAGCCGTGAAGTTAGAATCGCGGGTTAGAGGAGTGTATAGCGAGTTAGGAGAAGTAGGGGGTGCGCCAGGCTATGGCGGAAGCGGGATTGGCAGCGATCGGAGGGTGAATACCTCGCTCGATTACTGGGCAGAATCGAACCAGAGAACAGTTTTTTGAGAGTGGCGATCTCAGTGGCGGGGTCAGTTTTGAAAATTGGTGGCTCGTTGTGGCGGCAGAGGATGTGAGAGCTGCGCGCAGGGAAGCCGAATTCGTTGCCAATGTATCTTTTCATGTTCTAGCGGAAGATTCATGCAATTTTTGCTTTTTAGAATGTTGGAAGCCGCGCGCGGGGAAGACGAGTCTCGAGGGTGGCCGTGTATCTGCCCGGGCTCTAGTGGTAGATTCAGTCAGTTTGCTCCTCCCATCGGTGCAAGTAGCCTTCTCGATCTCTTCGTGCACGTATCGGGTCGAACTCCAGTGCCGGATTCATCTTCGTTTTTCATGTGTGCTAGTAAGGAGTTGAGATCCGGGTCGTGGCCATCGCTGCTCTCCGCAGTCGTGGGTTTGAATTGTCGTGCTGGTGGCTCTGTTTGCTGCCCCGGCCATGGTTATCAGGCGCATAAGAAGTAATGTGAACTTGGCCAAAGGGGGTGGCCAGGTGCATTAGCCAAGTGACAGGCGAGCATGAGCGGTGTAACGACGATCCACCAGCGTGATTTGCACCGGGATTCAACTACCCATTGGGGTGGTGTACTTGGCGATATTCTAGCGGAAGATTCGTTCTGATTTTGCCATCCTATCGACGGGAGTGGCATCCTTTTATTCCTCTGCGCGTGAGGCTGAAGGGCAGCATATGTTTCCATGTCTTAGCAGAAAGCTCGTTTCCGGTTGCCTGTTACAATAGCGGGAGCGGCCCAGGACTGCTTGGAGGGCGCGTACGTGATCTAGGCGGTGGCCTGCTCAAGCGACATCCACATGTGCCTTGGTTAGTATTGCTGTCTCACTTGAGGACGACCACGACTCGTGCTTTGTAACGATGACCAGTGAGCCTTGAATCACAGACTGTGCGTACTGATTTACCGCTGCTACTAAGGACTAAGTAGGTTGATGGCTGTGTGGCGACAGTTTTAGTTTGAGAAGAGGCACGGTACTGTCAAAAGGGGGAATCAGGCCTCTGCCTTGTCTCTCAATCGAGGCGCATGACAGACTGTCGTTCTTAGTCAACGAAGTGGTCAGCTTCTACTACGGTAAGGTGGGCATTTGGCGAGTTCTATATCTGATATGCTGTGAGAGCGGAGGGATGCTGCTAATATAAATGATAACGGACTGCGACAGATTTTGTAAAGTACTGTTGCTGAAGCTGCAGTCGGTTGAGCTGCTGCCTCATTCAACTGCCAATCGTGGTGTTGCTGGTTGCTGGGCCACTGTCCGCTGCTTGATGTTTGCCGGGTGCGTTGGATATTGTTGGTTGCAGACATACGAAGCGTACGCCAGCGGTGATTACAAGGCTCTGTTACGGTGCATTGCTGCGTTTCAGGCAGAGCACAAAGGCGCACTCCGTTCAGATGAGGCTCTCCTAGATCGTGTAGACTGTGGGTTGGTTAGGGGAGGACTACCGTTGGTTTTTGCCCGCAGTCTGGATTGAAGCACAGCAGTCTGCCGTGCAGTTCGCTGCCTACCTCCTCAGACGGAGCAACGAGGCAGGTGAACTAAGAGTCTGAGGACTTACCTGCGGCCTGCTGCACTGGTCTTCCCGGTTGTTGAAGCAGCAAAAGGAAGAGCTACGGACTATGTACTTACAGTTTGGCTGTCGCAAGCTGCTACGACTGCCGTTGCTATGCTCCGTTGTTTTGCTTCAGCTGCGTTTCAGCTGCTGCAGTTGCCATGCGTGTTGTTAGGGTGCTGCGCGCTTGCAGCACAACACCGGGAGCTTCGTTGTGCATGAAGTCCCCAACTGAGCTCGCTGCTTTTAGTCTGCAGTTCAAGTAGGGAGGGGGTTGCAGGACGCAGCGTGGTGTCTCGTGATTGCGGTCGGGACCGGTTGGTGTATTTGGTGACCACGCCGTAGTTTAGAGGAGTAATCAGAGGCTTGAGAGGAGAGGTTGTTGCTGCAACTCGGGAGGTCGCCAGAGGATTGATTGCGGCGATTGGTTTCATTCTGATCAAGCTGTTACTTTTTGGCCGCCATTGCGGGGCCCTCAGGCGCATCCAGGCAACGAGGCCCTCTTCTGGGAGTTGAGTTTGTCCCCTTCTTGGATCTCGAGAGTCTCAGACCCCTTATCCTCTGCCCTTCTCACTCTAAGTCTAATCCAGTTCTGAGAGGAAGGCGGCAGGCGGGATTCCAACCCGTAGGACCGCATCAAGGCCTGTGGGAGGTTACCCCACCGATTGCGGGAGCTCTGCTGAAACTCAGGAGGAGTTCTGGAGGCAGGGAATTGAGAGGTAACCTTCCCCTTCCCCTCTATAAACTCAGATTATAACCCCTATCT